GACCTTTTGCGAGTAAATCACCCATATCTTATTAACAAACTCATTCGCCCACTGCTTCGATTAATCTCCAAAACGTTAGTCATACATTTTTTAAGTTATACATGGTTTTTTATTATTACTCATTACTCTAATTCTTTAACTATTATTCTTTTTAAAAAAATAATATATTGTATAAGCTATTATTTAAAAAGCGATTTCATTATTGTAATTACAAACATTGTACAAATTACGATTTTTGATAAAATAATTACTCTAAAACGAAGCATCGATTTAGATAAAATAAAAATACAATGTAAGAAAACGTTCAGATCTCTTTCACTTGTCCCATTAATTAGCTTACTACGTTTTCGATTGACTTTGCAACCGACAACCTCAGCCAGGCATTAATTATCATGGGCCGGTCACGGACGGGATCGTCAGCGGTATTAACGTCTGGTTTCCCGTCAACCCGCTTGTCTAGCGCGCCCATTAGGGCATTTACCTCGCTTTGTGAATGCCAAAAAAAGAACAGGTCTTTAGCTACAGTACTTAAAACACTCATTTTTAGTTATTTTTGATATAACTTGTATAGCGTCACATATTGTAATCACCCGTATACGGCTGCTTTTTGTAGAATTGTTCTTTACATTCTACCGTTATTCAATTTTATTCTATGTTATTCAAAAAACATTGTGTTTTAGATGTGTAAAGACTGGAAACCGGCCACTACTAACCACTTTGGTTATTTTTTGCTCACTGACTTTATATTATTTATTTACATATAATTTTTATTAAAAAAAAATTGACCCTCCATAACTAGTTTATTGATGATTAAAATGATGTTCTTGAGCTTGTATCAAAAATTCCATGGTCATACTGTCATCGCAATTTATAAGTTATGACAATTTGTAGTTGTCACAGAGTTTTTGATTGATGACGGTTTGAATTTAATGTCCTCATAACGGTTCAGCTTTTGTTGAAAGTGGTAAAACTGTAAATAAACATTTTACAATATTTAACTTTAGGTTCATACTAGTTATGTTTACATTTACCAGGCCACTTGGATAGTTTTGCGTTCTCCGTCCGTTGTAACATCCTCCCAGTATGCGAGGACAGCACCCCACGCTCTCTCACTGTCAACCATAGCGCGAACTACGGCTGGATGCGAGAGTTCCCTCCCGTAACATCCATGGCCCGAGAGGACTCTGAGTCGCAAGGTAGGTGAGGGTGCCGTTTCCGTGCCAAGACAGGCATCGAACCATCGAGGTGATGTGCGATGTTCCACAGGCGGTGTTAGGGCCACTCCTGTGGAACATAGGCTATGACTGGGTGCTACGTGGCACCTATCTCAGGGGTGTCGAGGTGATTTGTTACGCCGATGACATTCTTGTGACCGTCCGTGGGGATTTCCGGGCCCACTTTGAGCGTCTGGCCCAACACAAATTAGCGAAAGCAGCGGCAGCTCTCAAAAGGGTGCTCCCGAACGTTGGCCGTCTCCTGCCGTCGACTATATGCCGGAGTCGTGTGGTCCATGGCCCTGTACGGAGCTCCCGTTTGGGCTGACACCCTAAAGCGCCGGACCCAAGCGTTTTTGCACAAACCGCAGAGGGTGTGTGCGCGTTTTTGCACAAACCGCAGTGGCTAATCGGGCCATACGGGGCTACCGGACGATCTCCGGTGAGGCGGCTAGCCTGTTGGCCGGCATTCTTCCTTAAGATTTACAAGTTAAAATCCTCGCGTCATTGCACTCCTGGCACGAAGCTGCAAAAGGCCAGGGCCATATGGCTGACTCCTCTGAGTTGGAGGAGCGCAGAGATCGCTTGCGCTCTAACGCCATCGGGGAGTGGGAGTAGAGGCTAGAGCACCCCAGTGCCGGCCTAAGAACCGTAGAGGCCATAAGTCCTGTCCTCAGGACAGGCGACACTGCACCCTTACCTACCGTGCGACCTACCGTGCGCAATCTTGCGCACTGGGGTCGCGGAAGATTGCGTCTGAGTGTTCCCGGCCGATGCGACAGAGACAGGTGCAACGGGGTTTTCTTAGTGGGTATCCGTGGGGACTCCCACATACTCCTGCCACTCCAACAAAAAAAAGGGTCACCGTGCTTATAGTCGTGATCTGGCACCGTGTGGTTATTCTTATTTGCTAAAAAAATCAACTGACAGGGATACATTTTTCATCAACGGAACACGACGCACTAACAGCGTTTGGAAAGGCTGTAGAATAGATACTTTCGGCGGTCTGGAAAAAGTGCATTGGAAATCAGTGCAGATGCATGAAACTTTGTATAAAGGCTGGTGGAGAGTTGTTTGAAAAGACATAATGATAATATCTCATCCATGTAACTTTTTTTTTCTATTATTTCTGACTGTTCCACGTACCTATATGCATAAAATATGGTGGCAAACATTTACAAACATCAAAAAATTAGAAAAGCTCACAGCCTTTCACATCAAAATAGGGTTCTCTCTTCATGGTCTTTAGGTCAAAGTAAGTTACTGGTTATTGAGGACTTACAACTAACAAGTACGATATGTGTAAGGATATTGATGAGCAATATTATATTAATAGAGAGCCTTGCAAGGGTGTTTAAAAAATTATAATCCATTATCTTTGTATTTACCGTGACTAGGGGCTGTGAAAAGTTTTTATTTTTCATTGTTTCTAAGTCGTAATGGGCCGGAAATACTCATTACTTATTGAACGAAGTTATCGCGCGCAGAAGATCATTTGGGAGAAAAGTGTGGTTATGGACTGTCCATTGGCGGTAATTTGAATTCACGCCGTAGATTAGTAAAAATTTGTTCAAACAATTTCGAAGATCGCCCTCGGATGAAACGCCAGAAAATATAATGTAAACGTATTGGGTTTTCGCAAGGCCAAATAACCACGCCTATTAGACTGAACTTGCTTGTAGATGATTTGGTTATCTCTAAGTGGAAAACAGTCAAAGACCCTGAGAACAGAACGTAATTCACTTGAAGGAAAACCTGCGGAGCCAGAAAATGTTTGCAATAATTGAAGCTTTAATAACGTAATGTATCATATTCCTTTCCAACACTTTTTCCAATAAAATAATAGCCTGTCCTTTCTCAGGCTCTAAACTATTTGTGTACCAAATTTCAATTAAATCGGTTCGGTAGTTTTGGAGTGAAAGCGAGACAGACAGACAGAGTTACTTTCACATTTATAATATTGGTAAAAATATAAACATAAATTATAGCCTATGTGTTATTCTGATGTACAAGCTATATTATTATAAAGTTTCATTAAAATCCATGCAACATCACAACATCCATCAATACATACAAAGTTTCGCGTTTATAATATTAGTAAGGATATCTACCTAACTCTTGTTCAGCGTTTTTAATGTTATACGCATATGATAAGTGGTGACCTTTGACACTGGTAAATGGTTTGGGATAAAATTAATTAGTGCCGAAGATTCTGAAAATTCAGAATATACAGATATTACTCTACTAGGTTTGTACTTTTCGGCCGTATGTGTATTCTCAGTACAAGAGAGGATTTCTGGTTTCAGTAATAAAAAAATAGAAGATCATCTTTTTTAAAACAAGAAAGCATGAGTGATATCAACAAACATGATTTATTGAACATTAAAAAAATTACCACCTTACTATCAATGATATTATATACAAATAAGAGGTAGATATGATACTAGCGCACCGAAACTGAGGCACTCATATTACATCTATTGGTGTAATAAGATTTCCATTCTAAAGATGTTATCTCTTTCCGTATCATACGTTCTATATGATATGTCATATTCAGTTATTTGTGTCATATAATGTTATGCGGAACAATTTTTAAACGCCGCGCAGTATGGACAGGCGTCATCTGTTTTATTAAGCATAATTGCCTATATATATATTTAGGTCATGGCGTTGAAAAGAATTAAACATAATAATTATCTAATTTGGTAGTTTGTTCAATGCAGTTCGTAGTTAAAAGATATTAGTTGTAATTTTTATAAAAAGTTTTTTTTTAAATGTGTAATTGCAGATAAGCTTGGAATTTAGAAAATTTCAATAATAATTATTTTCTTAGTGCCGTTTAAAGGCCCAAATGAAGAAGAAATATGCGCTGGTAAATTTAATACTTGTTAAGAATGTATAAATGATAAATATGATTTAAATGCAATATAGCTTTAGGGCGTATGCAGTTTGTATCAATGCAATATTTATAGATAGGAATTAATTTAAAGTTCTGCATACAGCACTATACAAAACTCAGGTTGGTTTTCCGTACCTTCTGACATTTGAATGAAATTCAATACGACATTGAAATACCTTTCATTGACTCTAATTACTCAACGATAAGGTATATTGGCAATAAGTTATAATTTGAGCCGTTTGTGGTTTAAGAAATTTTAGTTGTCTATCAGATTTTTCGTTTGAAAATTCATAAATAACAAGTCATATGCTTAATGTATTCGGTTCTTGTTAAACACCCGACGAATAATAAGTAAAAACCAGTCGAATGAGTGACATCACCTTCCTGTGCCGACTAAGGCCGTGTCTTTTTCGAATCGTATTATTTTTGCCCAATATATTGCGGTTTATTGAAAAATATATTACGTGGTTTGTTAAACTACATAAATGCAATACCTTCAATAGAGAGTGATTATATGTATAACACTGCTTCAATATAAGAACTCCAGTACAGCCATTTAAGGTATTTCAAAGGTATACCTATGCGGATCATCGGGAAAATTCAAGGCGTTGCATTAATTTTATTGTGCCGAGAACCAAGCGTGAACCGGTTATTTTTTTATTACGCAATTTGAAAGGAATTTCACCGCCTCATATAAAAAAAAGGGTAAAGTAGTTACGGTTTATTTGGTCCTCACAACATTCCACGGTAACTTGGAGACAGTGTTTTTAGATGCAATTTATTCTTAAGTCTTCGCTAGCATCTGCCAACAAAGGCATTCTCAGTTCGACCGCGGTGTCCTTGCAGTCTATCGAAGCTCTGTCCGTAGCGGTCTGTGTATAAACAAGATGGCGCGTACGGGCAGTGGGGACTCAGGAGAGGGACCGGGTGTCCGGGACTGGTCCGGCGGTGGCGCCCGAGCGCCCGCGCTGCACCCGGCCCTGAGTTCGAGCTCTATTTTTAGCGCTGTGTCATCGTTCGCGTCGCGTCCGAGCCCCGCACCGTCATGCGATTAAACGCAAACATCGTTGCAGAAAAGAGCCCATCTTGAAATATGAGGTATCGCAACATATTGCTCTATTGTTCAACGATGCACGCTCTCATAGGCGTGAACGCCTGCTCTACCTCCAGGCGCTCTATAATGACTTCTTTTTACATTGTAAATCCGAAAGATAAAACCCGACTTATGAACTATTCATAGGATTTTTTTTATTTAAAAACGTATTTGAACTTTAAACTGTATTTTGCACAACACACTAATAAAATATACATTTACATAACATTACTGCTGTAATAAACTTGACGACTTGTTTGGCATCAATCTGTCGTTTGCGTCAAAGATTTCCACACTTCCGAAAGAATAATGTGTCATAAACATAGTATTTTCCTAGTGTCTGGATGATACGTAAAAAAGCCTTCAAAATCGATTGGTTTGGTGACATAGAGGCTCGTACCAAATACGTAACTTAAAACTGTTAAAATTCAGATCACGACATTTGCTGAATGTAACAGTTAGTTAGGTAGTCGTCATGATGTCATTGGTATGCGCTAAGTACTGCCCATCCATGTGACGTGCGTTATGTATGTAGGTGACTGAGGTTGCTTTATTTATCTACTGATGCCATTAATACATACATAAAAAGCAGATATTACAGATGTAATTTTGTGAAAAAATAAACAAAGACAAAAGCGACCAAATCAAAACCACACGTCAAATAAATTGACAGTAGGTACGTACATAAATGTGATTCTATTTTAAACGACAAAACTTCATTTTTACGATATACTAAGTATTCCTTAACCAAGATTATAATCCATTCCCTATACAAATATCATGCAAAATTTAAATAGCCACAAGCGTGATGATGAATAAATAAATTGATATTGTGATATTGAGTGCAATTCCGTTATATACTTGTAAATATTTGTTACTGTCGTTACTAAGACATGGTAATGGACACACATATGCAATAAATATTAAAATAAAGTGCACTGTCATTAAAAAATCGTAACCATGTCCTAGGCGACACATAATGACGAAGATAAAACACGACGAGCAACTATCTAAGTTTTACAATGAGGTTTTTTATCAACCATGCTAAATTAAGCCAACACTCAGTGAAACTCATAACTGTATAGTACGTAAAGGCTATGTGACGTCCATTCTATTTTTTCAAGGCATATTGAAATTACGTGTCTCATTCTCCAACCCACACGGACATTGGTGGTGATGGCAGATTGACTTCTACTTCAGCCCACGCTGGAACCGTCGTCACGAAGACAGCCCACGGCAGAGTTACGCAACATAAAAACTATTTGTGCAATTGATGCTCAAAATAATCGTGGCAGAAATCGAAAGAGTATTTGAAAATTAATTCCATTTAATTTGTGATGTTGCCTTACTGAGATAAAATGACCGTTGATTCGTCACTGCAAGAGTTATTCGTTGTGTAAGGTGACGTAACCGTGGTGATGTTATAGAGCTTAAATGACTTATGACTTTTATTTTATATTATAATTTTGTTTAATGATTTTCAATGTTACAGTGTTTTCAGTGTTGAAATATTTCAGTGAAATATGAATATTTGAACGCTATTTTACAGTAAAAAAAAGGATTGCTAAAACTACATCACTACGAGTTACGACTTACTTAACTTCCAGGTGACATTAATTTAATGAGATGTACTTGATAATGCACATGGAAACTTAAACATTGAAGTTTTTTTAAATGAAACATTAAAGGAAAATTTAAATTCAAGCAGGAACTGGGGTCACAGCTATTAGATTTTAAAAACTTAATCAATCTTATCTTAATCAATATTTGGAATCTTGGCGTAGAATTGGCAATAATGATTATCAAAGAAACTGCAATTTAATGGAAGAGAATGGTAGAAAATAATTGAAAAATACTGGTAATATAAAAGTAGGCGTAGAATGTCTCATAACTCTCTGTTTAGCATTCGCAATTAAGTATCATATTAATTTAAAATTCTGTTTAAGTTAAAGCCAATAAACAAGTTTCCTATTTGATATAACACCTCCTCAAGTCAAAATGATTCACAGGCCATTTGTTGTTTCCATAGTCGACGCCAAGTAGTAATAGTTATTCCGGTTAATATTCTCCAAAGGCGGCGAGAATGTTTAAAGTGGACTGCCTTGATATTTGGATGTTATGTTAATGCGAAATGTCACAGATTACTCCGTTGCAGGCGCACTGCATACTTCGCTCACATTCGTGACACGTTGCGACACACGGAGAAAGTTGCAAAGCACTCGCTGGCGAAATCACGCCCACTACCTCTGTGCCAAAACTGTTCGAGAAACACCACAACGACTTAATGTAAGCTTCGGAAGAACGACAAGTAAAAGTTGTTTTCGCAATATGTTCATTGTCCTACAAATGTCTCGGGTAATTTCCAACAGGTTATGATATAATACAATCAATGAAAGGATTGGATAAATATATATTTTTTATTAAACCCTTTCAAATACACATGCATATTGTTTCATAGTAGTATAAATATAAATAAAAAAATATAGTATAAATATAAAAGTCATAGAAGTATAACGGAAATTAAAAATATAAATTGTTATACCGCGAACTAACTGAATTCATTTAACTGATTAAAGTTTTAAATTATTTTTTTTTTCATTACATCACTTTAAGTTTCTTTTCTACTCTAGATCAATGAAGTATTATTTTCTTGTTATGTGGGTCAGTTTAGTAAAGTGATTAAACAATGACAGTTTTACACAGATAACACGTACCTTACGGAAAATCTTGTTATTTAATTTTATGTTTTATAAGTTTTGTTGTGCCTGAAGTTGGCGCTTTCAGTCCCTATTTAATTTTGTAGTACCAATCGTAATACCTAGTAAGTCAACGTGAATTATTATCAAATGTTACATGCACAAAGCTCTTGCGATTTTAACCTTGCGTGATGGCGGTCCGTGATTATTATGGTAGCCCGACCGTGACACTGACGTGGGTCATGATAATGACTTGTGTACGAACTATTCACGAGTTTCGGAGTTAGTGCGCCGCCGCTTCAAAGTCTGCACAATACTTACACCACACTTGCCCTGCAGTATTTGTATCTCCATGACCGTTATACGCTCACCGCTATACCACGCTCTGCGATGCACTGTTGAGACACCATGGATTACTATGAAAAATATTTCGGCAGTTTTTAAATGTTATAATCAGTTCATTAATATTTTTTATTTTTTGATAATTGACATGAAATTTGAAATAATTTTACCGAAGTACAGTTAAAAAGTTAAAATAAAGTAACAGCTTATATATGTCCCACTGTTGGGCAAAGGCCTCCTTTGTACAAAGTTTATTAGGGCACAGCCCTGCACTCGACCCCCCTGCGCATTGCCGGACTAAATATATCTTCGAAAATATGTATTTTTTTGTTATAATAGAAAAAATTAGAAAATATTAAATATTGATTTATTCATATTTCAATTTAACGGTCCCTAACATTATTTTGGTATTATTTGAATAGACTTGTTTGCGTACTTTTTTTTGTTAAACAGATTTATACTCAGATTAATCTTTTAATGTGCTAAATTTATGATTTTTTATTTTTTATTCATTATAAAAATGGATGAATCAAACGGTAATAAAGTTCGAACGGTAATAGATAATTTGATTGATATAATAGTTTATATTACATTCGTACAAAACTGATTTATCGCGTGTAAGAGGTTTATTTGATTATGAAGAAATATGTTTGAATAATAACATATTATTTTGCTAGGAACCTCTTAGTTTACAAAGGCTGATTATGATACTATATATCTTTGATGTATTCGTTAAATTTAATTTTGCTTTACTCTCTTTTTTACATTTAATTTCTAACAGATCAATGGTTCTATTTGGTAAAAATACTGGTTATAATATGCCTGCGCGCGTTGAACTCTTAAATATAGAGCAGGTAATGAGTCACAAATTAATTTTGCTTTTTAATTACAAATTACTTAACATTAAAAAGTTCAGTAGTAACTGAATGAAATGTAGTGAATAAATAAATACATATAATTAAAATGATTATTTTAATTATATTCGGTTTAATAGGACTCAATACTAACATAATATATGATTTGCGACGTTTTATTATAAAAATTATCATTTTTACATAATTGTTTATCTTTCTCTATAAATAAACTTATTGTTAACTTAAAATAAACTTATTCGATAAAGATAAACATGTAAGTAATTTGTCCATTTATTAAGATTTACTTCATTCTTACTTATGAAAAAATCGGTTTATATTAGTGAATTTAAGAAAATAACTTCTGGAAAATGTCCCTTTTTACCCAGCGATAAAAACCTTTAGAAGTTTATGTTTTAAAGTTATCTTCAAAAGACATAAATTTATTAAATCGTCTACTGTATCCAAATTGTGAAAAAGGTAATTGTAACATATAAAAGAAAATTGTAAGTAATTATGGTGGCTGTTCAGAGAGTTATGTAGTGTTGATGCCGGACATGCGAAAGCTCTGTCAGTGAGTTGTGCGTCAAGGGGCGAGGCTTTGCGGGCACTGGCCGGTGCGGAGGGGGGAGGTGAAGAGCAGTGGAGAGGAGGGGGAGCTGCGCTGGCGGAGGAGGAGGCGCGTGCACCGAAGCCTGTGTCCGCACTCGGTACAGTCACAGTCCGACCATACCTACGGTCGTGCGTGCGAATACGACCCGGCTTCGTCGCTACTACACCTGTCAAGTGTCCGTTAAACGAACGGTTCGCTCCAAAAACAGGAGCGGGTGCAGTGCTGTGATAGTGTGTTTTTAGTCATACAATCATATTGTGTATCACTAGAAAATCCTACTGTCCACGGCGCGTTGCGAATTCCTCGGCGTAGTCTAACGGCTGTTCGCTTGACGGCGAGGGAAGGCGGACCGCTTTTACCGGGAGGAATGAGCCCCGTACACCACCGTTCCCGCACTCACCGATGATCTCAAGGTTGGTGTCTGTAGAGTTCGAACGCGCTGCGTGTCGTAACTTCACACGGCACGACCCCTCGGCCACAATCGTATACCTACGCTCTATTCTGATCTTATTTTACATACATTCGTTTTCTTGCTATGACGCTGTACGTTTTTAAAATATTAATAACATGATTAATATTCAGTTTCTTCTCTTGTATGATATTATTAGCAGCCGTTATGTTATTGGAACAATATTCTTATTGGTTTTCCAATAACAACTTTGACTACGTGGATTATACTGTAAAAGTTTATCAGACAGAATATATTGAAGTGTATGTTAATAATATCTCAATTACATTTACAATTTAATTATATCTTTGCGACAATTTATTACGCGTATTAAATAATTATTGAAATTTAGATGATTAAAACACAGATACAGAATATTGTAAAAAATTCACTACGATAAGAAAACAAAACTGAGCTACTTTCACATAGATGGCGCCTTACGTTTACTTATGTAAGGTGGACCAGATACTAGCGTCCATACTGAGATTAAGTATTTCCAAGTATTCTAAGGCAGCATCCGACTGCCATTTTAAGTGGAAAATACGAATGCAAATTGCATAACTACGTTCTTGTCGTTCATCGATATTTGCTGACTTTATTAAGTTGTATGAATCTTTCTTTACTTGTTAAAACAAGGAAACTAAGAATATCTTTAAATTTCCTTGTTTAAAAAAAGAGAAATTATTCACGAAATACCTAGTTAATCAATATGCCTTCTCGGTTTAAATAAATAAATACTCCAGGTAACGACCTAAATTAAGGATTTGTTTGATCTACTGTAACAGGACGGCGACGCTTTTATGCGAGTACATTTGCATAAACCGTGCAATGCACCTTTAAGAAGACTGGCTCGTCTTTATGTAAAGAATGAGTAAGAGAAACGGCGAAACCTCTGGTGGCAATAACGTATTCCAGTCTCGTCTTTGGCGCAGGGTTTTTATTTTAAATATTTACCTCAACTACGAACCATTTTTATAGTTTTAACAATCCAATGATCTATAGCTATGTTATAAGCCACCTCCCGTTATCTATTTAAAGGCGATTGGATTTATATTACCCTCTTTAAGTATTTGAGAATTTTTATAGTATTCAATTAGTCTTTATAGTCGTGTTCTTTTTTATCAAATAAGTAATAACTTGTGACGTCTTGGATTGTGAAAATTTATTTTATTGATACAATAAAGTCCACGACAAATACCAACGAGCTTTATTGTATGTCTTAAATTTAATTTTTAACAATTTTGCGAATGTAATTCATAAAGGATTTTTTTCGTTACATACTTACATCACTACTACTATATCTTAAGATAAACCCGTAATATAATGTGTAAACTCAATGCATCGACCTGTACATTTTTAACCACTTGTGTATTTTTTATGTTTAATCGATTAATTGAAAATTCAAAATAGTTTTCTAAGAATAATGAAAATACTACTGACTTGTGAATCTTAAGGCAGAATGTTGGCACCAGTTGTGTGTGGCTAGGGCATGAAACAAGTAAGAAAATTTACACACCAAGGCCTCTTTGTTCTCTACGCAATCTATTCCCACAAAGCGGTTAATTATAATCAACGACTGATCAAAAAGGTTTTTCTTTAGCATTTCGACACAGACATTATCTCGTGGCCGGCTGAGACTCGTTAAATTTAATTGAACTTTGTTGTTTGCCTTTAAACTCATAAGAAACACTTTTTGATAGTAAACTTATTTATGGACTCTATTTTTCTTTGTACTTGGACAGTATAGAAAATGTTAATTAATTATAGAGTGATTCCCAAAACATTTTTTTTGTCTGACTTATAGCATTTCTAGCAGTTACACTGTGTTAGGTTACCTTTCATATTTTTTATGATAGCTATCTCCGTCTAATAATTTTCAGGTAAAGATAAGAACTTGTTCTGTGAATTCGACGAATCAGGAATCCTACATCCTAGAAGTTGTATACACAACTGAGCACGGATCTAAATGTAAATAATGTTAAGTTTTTCTACATGTTTTAATGTTAAAAAGTTTTGATTCATTCAATTTCTTAATTAAGGATTTCATAATTGTATCTTCAGACTATAGCAGCTTTATGAGATTTGATAAAATGGGCTTACAAATCACTACTATTATATTGGTCATCTTCATATTAGTTAATAAAGGCAGATAATATTGTATGTTAATCATTACTTTTATAGATTTTTGTAATAGATTAATTTCAGAATATACTCTATTCATAATTTTCAAAGCATCTACAACGGCATTACTGATTCAGAAGCGTCACTAATTAAAACTTTAACTCGGCTACGATTATCATATATTCCCCACAATTGTTAACTTTAAAAGACGTAGGAATTTGAACCGCCGACATACTTCCATAAATCAAATGCATGGCTGTACAATTTTCACCCAAGTTAATGGCAGTCTTTCTAGGGTACAGTGTCAAAAAGTTGGAGCAAACGTACTAGGCCCGCATAGCGTTGGGGTCGGCAACTTCTGTCACAGATGACGATGTGCCATTGAGCACCTGTCACGGATCGTGGGCGCTCGAGCGGACGCACCGCACACCCGTTATGTCATTCCATACCTCTATAATAATAATAAAAGGTATATCATGTTCTCACACGTGAAACATGTACCGTACACTAAATTGTCTTGAAGCTAACTACAATCAATGTTTTTTTTTAGAATTTTTATTACATCATAAATCTTTATTACATCATATTAAATTAAACTTTGAGCAATGGAACAAACATGTTGTTCAATTTATTTAACAAATTGTTAACTATAACAACGATTACGTTTGCAAAATATTTATTTTTATAATAAGAAATATTTCATTTGTCATAGAAGCGTGATGATTGATTAATAGGTCGTTATTGGACGTCAATTAAGTTCATTCCTGTTCGTTATTAGCATTATTTACTTTTGAGAATGTCTTGGTAATAATCACGCATGCCACAGCAATTACAAGTTTTTGTTAGTATTGGTTTAAATGTACTGTAAAGATAATCAAATTGCCTTGAACAGGATGCTTTACGCAATTAAAGATTGTTTTGTGCGATTTTTTGATCAAGAAGTCGGATGTGGTTGGATTTTCTTATGATAAAATAAATGAACTACATACAAAAACATAATTTTTTATATTCCTCCTGTTTCAAGAAAGAATATTACGTGGATCATAAGTCCACTGTGTTATTATGTTATAATATGGAAACATAGTGCCTATTTGACTATGGAAAATATGACATGGATGTAAATTTTATCTCCATAATGCATGTTTGTTTACATGCAGCCATGTTTACTCAAAGACTCAAAAAAAGAAATAAATTACAGTTTGAAAACCTAATAAATTACGCTTTAATAGAACCGAATTAAGGGTTTGTTTACTATAAATTGTAATAAATATTTCAGAAGAAATCATTTTTAAATAGTAGAGTTGTCAATAATATATTGATAATTATATTATGTTATATCGACCACTCTACGATTTTCTTAGATTAAATATTATTATTATATACCTTTGTAAAATTATTAGTTGTAAATATTAGCCTTTTCTTTTTTTTGATATCTTTCCGTGCACACTTACCTAATCTTCTCTATACAACCCAAGGTTTACTGAGAGATAATGCCTTTGGTATTAAGCCTTTATATTATTTGTGCGTAACGAATAGATAAATAAATAAATAAAATAAATAATTATATTGAATTAGTTGCCTCTCCTGTCCTGTCCTGTCTTTAATAAAATCTTGATGAATAAATATTAAAATAAATAATAAAATAAATATTTTCCAAATTTTTTAGATTACATATTAGAATGTATTTTTTTAATTATTAATTTAAATAATAAATGTTTCTTATTTATCCAATATTTACCGCATTAAATCTATCTAAAATTATATATTATCTAATAAACCTCATCCACGCGGCACGGTGCCAAGAAGGCTAGCTGCATTTCCTCGAATAGTTATGCTTATATAGTTTTCCTTTGAGTGTGAAAGAACCTCCTTGTCACCAGCCGCGGCGTTAAGCCTAGGACACAAACCTGTTTGTTTCAAAAAACCAAACCTGTTTTTGTACGGGGTCTCCATGGACCCAAAGCTTCAACAGCAAATGGCACAAATATATAATATCTAATAATCATATTTGCGCCATTTACTTACTTCAGCTGCCTCCGATGTCGTCTCGGCCCTGACCGAAGTACCCCTTAGAAGAGAGGCAGCCAAAGTGTCTACACAAGTAGATCATCCAAACAAGGGTAATTTAAACTATAAGTTTTTATATCCCAAATCTATATAAGTCGCAAGTAAAAAACTTGTTCGTTGATTTCGAAAGTCAATTTTTTTTATGAGAAAAATTGTCAAACTTGCTGGCGGTTCACCTGATGTTAAGTAATAACCGCCGTCCATAAACATTTGCAACGACCGGAGGGTTGCAAATGCGTTGCCACCTTTAAATAAAGTGGGCCCCGGCTACCACACTCACCAGACGAAACGCAGAAGTGTAACACTTCTACTTTACGCCGGTTTTCTGTGAGGTCGTGGTAATTACCCGGACGGACCTGCCCATTCGTGCAACAGTGAAAACTGCTACGTGGCCCTACCAGTACCTTATGCAAACAACTGTAAATATAATAGACTAATTTTATCGAATACGCTATACTATTTTTAGTTCTGAATCAGTAATGCAAAAACCAAGGTAGTCGCGCGTTATACTGATTTTTATGGAACTACATTAACGAACTCCACCTCTTGAGGTAACGACTTCCAATGTCCTGATTCGCGGCTATTGGGCCGCAGCATTGGTCATGGAACAATTGGTAATAGAATATTATATGGCATATTGATTCAGGGACGAACGTAGGCTGTTTGATATTCTTCGTGCATACCGCCCGTCGCCGGCCGTCCGCTGACACCGGAACTTAGACATATTACGGAGTGCTCTTTCTCCTTTAATAGATTCTATCGCCGTTGGAACACGCT